TGATTGTATCATGTGTAGTCATGGAACATTTCACATTGCATTTACATCTGTGATTTGATTTTAGAGATATAATAAGAAAGTTTCATGTAACTAAATGATTATGAACATAAGCTTAAACCTGAAAGTAGGTAGAAAAAAAGATTTTTAGGAACTCTACTGTCACCAAATTCAAGGAGCAATTAATTCATCAGGAGATATCATTCAGACACTTTGATATAATATTAGGTAGCTGGTTATATGAGAAGGGTGCGGTGACTACAGTGCAGAGAAATGATGGCCTTAAGTGGAAATAGATCTAATAAAACATATAATAGAGTTTCTGTCTACTTTGAAATTTTTCAGCACAACCTCCTGGAGTGATTTTGAGAGGAGGCAAACTGTCAACACACTTCAGTAGCCCTAAGGACACCACAATATTTTAGCATAGTTTAAGGACTGAATTTTATAATAACAATCCTGAGATAATAAAAGAGTTAATTTATGTTCAGGAAGCTAAGGTGACTAGGGACAGTACAGTGCATCTTAGAAATATTAGTACAAACAATAAAAATTAAAACTTAGGGTAAGTAATTAAGTAAGCATCTGTTTTATGGACAGTCTATTCATGTGAAGAATCTCTTTCTCTGATGATGCCCAGAAAATCCAAAGGCTCTGTAAATCAGCATTGGAGAATTTACTAGCTTCTCTCTCAAACTTTTTTTTTTTGTAAAAGTACATCTACTTTTCTATGAAGAAATATGTAATTCTTAAAACTGAACAAGTCATGTTTTTAATACCAATTTATAATTAAAATAGATAAGTAACTATTTCATGGGTTTTTGCAAGTCTCATTAGAAAGCTATAAATTTAATGAACTGTTAAAAACAATCCCAAGATTTTGGAATCCTGATGTGATTTAGTACTTAATGAGCAGTTTAGGATAACATCTTTTCCTCAAGTTATTAAACCACTGAGTTGGGGATTTGAGAAGCAGAGATCTTCTTTAGGTGTATTTCATTATAGTCAAACTTCAAGTAGGCTAATAGAGATGAAAGACAATAAACTTCCTTCAACACTAACAGCCTTAATAATGTAAAAACAATACCACTGGTGATAACTTTGAAGTCCTACAAGATCAGTAGGCTACAAATATGATTTTATTAAGTAAAACTTAGCACAAAGGCATCATTGTATGTTAACATAGTCTGAGGCATATTTACAACCATCACTGTTTATATAATTATTTTAAAAATTATTTCTTAATTGGATATGTGGTCAATTCTTATAAGCATACCATTTCCTAAGTATTTTATTATTAATTTAATTTCTTATTTTTAAATAAATTAATTATGTCTTTTAAAGTCTCAGTATATCAACTTTGATTTTCAACAGTTTCTGTAGACCAAAACTGAAAACTGCTGACATTTTTTCCTAGCACATTCCATGAACTGTCTTTCTCACAACTAGTAAGCAGTACTGCCTACACTGAATCACAAAATCTAATGTGAAAGTTTCAGAGAAGTGGAATTAATAGTAGGTCATCTAAGCATTTTGTGGGAACTTTGTTATTTTCTGTCTAATTTTTTCCCCTCCTCCCATCCCCGTGTCCATAGGTCTGTTCTCTCTGTCTGTTTCTCCATTGCTGCCCTGAATATAAATTCATCAGTACCATCTTTTTAGATTCCATATATATGCATCAGTGTATGATATTTGTATTTTTCTTTCTGACCTACTTCACTCTGTTTAATAGGCTCTAGGTTCATTCACTTCATTATAACTGACTCAAATGCATTCCTTTTTATGGCTGAATAGTATTCCATTGTATATATGTACTACAGCTTCCTTATCCATTCATCTGTTGATGGACATCTAGGTTGCTTCAATGTTCTAGCTGTTGTAAATAGTGCTGAGATGAACATTAGGGTACATGTGTCTTTTTCAATTTTGGTTTCCTCAGGGTATGTGCCTAGGAGTGGGATTGCTGGGTCATATGGTGGTTTTATTCCTAGCTTTTTAAGGAATCTCCATACTGTCTTCCATAGTGGCTGTATCAGTTTACATTCCTACCAGCAATGCAAGTGGGTTTCCTTTTCTCCACACCCTCTCCAGCATTTATTGTTTGTAGACTTTTTGATGATGGCCATTCTGACTTGTGTGAGGTAGTATCTCATTATAGTTTTGATTTGCATTTCTCTAATAATGAATGATGTTGAGCATATCTTTTATTGTTTTTATTAGCCATCTGTATGTCTTCTTTAGAGAAATGTCTTTTTTATATCTTTTCCCCACTTTTCAATTGGGCTGTTTGTTTTTCTGGTGTTGAGTTGTATGAGCTGCTTGTATATTTTGGAAATTAATTATTCATCACTTGTTTAATTTGCTATTATTTTCTCCCATTCTGAGGGTTGTCTTTTTACCTTGTTTGTAGTTTCCTTTGCTGTGCAAAAGCTTTTAAATTTAATTAGGTCCCACTTGTTTATTTTTGTTTTTATTTCATTAATCTAGGAGGTGGGTCATAGAAGATCTTGCTTTGATTTATGTCATCAAGTGTTCTACCTATGCTTTCCTCTAAGAGTTTTATAGTTTCTGATCTTACATTTAGGTCTTTAATCCATTTTGAGTTTATCTTTGTATGGCATTAGGAAGTGCTCTAATTTCATTCCTTTGCACGTAACTGTCCAATTTTCCCAGCACCACTTATTGAAAAGGCTATCTTTGCTCCATTGTATATTCTTGCCTCCTTTGTCAAAAATAAGGTACCCATAGGTACATGGATTTATCTCTGGGTTCTTTATCTTGTTTCATTGGTCTATATTTCTGTTTTTGTGCCAGTACCATACTGTCCTGATGACTGTAGCTTTGTAGTATAATCTGAAGTCAGGAAGGTTGATTCCTCCAGCTCCATTCTTCTTTCCAAGACTGCTTTGGCTGTTTGGGGTCTTTTGTGTTTCCATATGAATTGTGAAAAATGCCATTGGTAGTTTGATAGGAATTGCATTGAATCTGTAAATTGCATTTGGAAGTATCCTCATTTTCACAATATTGATTATTCCTACCCAGGGATATGGAATGTCTCTTTTAAAGTCTCAGTATATAAACTTGGTTTTCAACAGTTTACCTAGACCAAAACTGAAATCTGCTGAAAACATTTTTTTTCCTAGCACATTCAGTGAGCTGTCTTTCTTTCTCACAACTAGTAAGCAGCACTGCCTACACTGAATCACAAAATCTAATGTGCGAGTTTCAGAGAAGTGGAATTAATAATAGGTCATCTAAGCATTTTGTGGGAACTTTGTTATTTTTTGTCTAGCTTTAGTGTTATAATTTTAAAATGTAAAAAGCCTTTCTCTTTTGTATGTTTTTCTGTAGTCTCTTTGCAAAGTCAGGGATCATGAGATTGAAAGTGAAGAACATTTTAAGATGATTGCTGAAAGAGAACTGGGACGAGTGAAGGATGAAATTCAACGACTAGAAAATGAGATAACTTCAATACGGGAAAAAAAAAATGATAAGGAAGTATGTGTTGAACTGTTACCTCAAATTTTGTGCAATTGCTCCTTCTTCCTTCACCAAACGTTGTTTTTCTTTCTTTTTTTTTTTTTTCTGTATAGGAAAGACATTTAGTTTCCTGACATTTACTTATGTTGTTTTTTGGACAATGAAAGTCACATGGAGCTGTGATTTAAATCAACAATGATAGAATATTACTTTTATTTTCTCAGTGTTCACTTACCAAATAGTCATTGAGCCTTACAATATGTGAGGTACCCTGCTGTCTGCCTATTACACCATACTAGGCATAATTTATTTATAAGTGCTACATTTTTAAAATCTGCATTTAAAAAGTCACATAATTTTGAATTTCATTTTTCAGTCAAAATTTTTACCTTTCATATTATCAACCTGTGACTCTAATATTAAAGTACTATAACCTGTTTTTCTCTTTTCTTTAGCTTTTAGTTACCTGGTTGGAAGCGCTTTCCAAATTCAATTCTTCTCTTTACTTATGCATATACTTATGGAAATGTATTTGTATATATGTATTTGTGTATTTGTATATATGGAAATATATATATTCTTATACATATATAATAAATATAATATACATAAATATACACACAGTAAGTATATACACATATATAAAAATATATATGGAAATATATATATATATATTGGTATATATACATCTGGGTCTCCTGCATTGCAGGCATATTCTTTACCATCTGAGCCACCAGGGAATCCTATATATACACATACATACCTATTTTATCATGTTAATTTGTTTTTGTTTGTGTATTGATCTGTTTTCTTTTATGAATCTAAATTTGTTAAATACATTGAAAAATATTTTATATCCTTAATTACTATATTTGTTTTAGTTAAATGTGCTTCCAAATTTTCTATAGAAGAGAACTTTTAGGGACAGCAATTTGATTGGAAATGGGGCTGAAGAGAACTTGTCTTGGGCTTGAGTTAACATATGAGGCACATTATTTTTTATTATAATTGCATATCTGCTTCGGTAGTTTTGGTAGAGTGACTAATGAGATTGCTCTAGGGGGGATACCCTAATGTCTTTTAAGTAAACTTTGACTCAACTGTTGTTCTCAATTTGATAATCACTTCCCTCTATTTCACAACTAAAGAATTGAAATACCAGTATGATAGTTACATAATCAAATATGATATGTTGTATACATCTGGAGACTGGGGACAGAGACAAGGTTTCTTTCATCCTTTTAAATATGTAATGTTATGTTTTATTTTAGTTTATATAGTAAATAATGTTTTGTAATTTCTCCCTGTTCCCTCTCTTTGAAAATTAGAATTCCATATTTAAAATTACTCAAAAATTGGATGGTTTGAAATGTCAAATGAACTGGGACCAGCAAGCATTGGAGGCCTGGCTGGAAGAATCAGCTCATAAAGATAGTGATGCTCTCACTCTTCAGAAGTATGCTCAGCAAGATGATAATAAAATTAGGGTGAGATGTTGTACATTGTAGTGTTAGATTTTCTCTGAATCTATAGTAAAGCAACCTGTTATTTAAATTGGACTTACAATTTTAAAGTAGTGCTTAAACATTTTTGGGTCTAATAAAGCCAGTTATCCTCTCTCTAGAAAAATGAATGTACTCCAATACTCACACAATCTTGATGCAAGTTTTACAGCTCCTCTAAAGCCCTTTGACCATTTAAGGATCTTTGGACTCCAGGTTAAGAATCCTGATTGAGAAGGTTTCTCAAAACCATTTCAGAAAATAAAGTTTTGTACTAGAACTGTGTATTAGTATTTTAACTTACTTTGTGTAACAGTTTGAATATTACAGATAATTTTTGCTGATTTGAGACTATAGCGCTATTGATTATTTAATATATCATATTAAATAATATAATTATTATTATAACCACTACTTAAAAATCTACTTGTAATTAAATCTGGTAATATGTTAGTATCATGAAACATTCTGTTTTCTAACAGGTTAATACTGCATGCATTAGTTAAAATAACCTTAAATGAAAATTTATTGTTTAATCTTTTTTTCTAACTCATTTTAAAAAGTATTAAAAGTCTTTTTAGAAACTATTGGGTTTCCATTGAAGTTAGAAGATAAAGAATATATATATTATTTGGAGTTATTTTAGATGTCAAATGAATATATGTAATATAATATGTCTATAATATGTGTATATGTATAATATATTAATATGAGATATGCTGACAGCTTTTATGTTAGTAAAATGATAATTATGAATATTTTTGTATGTAACTACATTCTAGGCCCTGACCCTGCAATTAGAAAGATTGACTGTGGAATGTAATCAGAAAAGAAAGGTACTTGACAATGAATTTGCAGAGACTCTAAGTGTACAGGTTGGTTTAGTAAGGAATTTTTTTTTTCTTAATTGTCAAAATGATGTTCAGAAAAGCACTTAAATTCACAGAAATATTATTTGGTCTTCATTTTACAGTTAGAATTGGATAAAGCAGCCCAAGATTTTCGACAGATTCATAATGAAAGGCAAAAACTCATTCTACAGTGGGAGAGCACAATAGAACAGATGCAGAAGAGAGATAAAGACATCGATAACTGTGCCGTGGTAAAGTGGTTGTTTGGTTCTTGCAACTTTCAGCTGTATATATCTCTTTTTGTATTTAACTCATTCATGTCAAATTAAATCACACTATTATTTGAAAGTCACTTTTGTAGCATAATCCAGTAGTTTTGGTAAATGTTTTCTAAAGCTGGTTCTATATCTATTTGGAAATGTGATTTTATAAAGTTTATTTACTTATGATATAATGCCGAAGACTGGCTTCTAATATCTCTGAAATGTGAAACAAGAGAAAATCAACAGACAACTTTATTGCAGCAAAGCCAATGCCTTGACTCATATATACAGTGTTGTCCACGATGCCTTGGATTTAACATGTGTGCTGTTTCTGTGTGAATCAAAAGGTGTAGGGAAATGAGCCTCATGGGTAGCCAAGAAAGAAGGATGGAGAGTCAGGAAAGAAACCCTGACTGCAATAAATTGTCCCTTTTGAAACTGAGTTACCATCCAGAATGGGGTAAAACCTCTGAAGGGGAGGAACACCATGCTGATTAAACATGGGCCTAGTGTTATCTTTTGCTCTTTTCAGAGGTAATTTAGGAGAACTTTTTGGGGAAGTCATTAAAGAGTGAAATAGTGGTGAGTGAAAATGGGAAGATTAGGGAAGTTGGGGAGGGAGAAGAAATTGAGGAGGAAAGAAGGCATGTGAGAAATGTGTGAACTTCCATTCTGAATATACTCCATGGAAAGGCAATTGGCAAGCTATTCAGGTCACTGAAAGTTTGGAATTCTGATAGCTGGATGTGGTTTACTTGTTACATGTAACTTATCTGAAAATGTTATTTCTGTATTTCTGTGAGTAATCATTTTATCAACAAAATGGCTTATTCCTCCTTAGAGGGGAGTTGGAAGAACCAATCTTAACTATGAGTTCCTCTTATTTCTTGCTACTAATGTTGGTTTCTCTTTCTTGCTTTATACTGGTTTCAAACATCAAGTCCTGACTGCTTTCTCTGTGTAGATCACATCTAAGACTAAGATCTAAGACTGCAAATCCATAATCTGAATGCTCATACAACCCTGTAGCTAAAGTTACTCAGCCTGCTGATTTGGTGGAATCCACAGCCTACAGTTCTCTGGTTACATCCTCAGTGATTCCTTATTCATTGGGTGACATCTCCTGGCTACATGTATTGAAAAAAGACTAGGGAGGACTCTTAGAAATGGTTCCATAGGTAGTGGGATGCCTCTAAGTGTTTAACAACTAGCTCTTGATTTGTGGTATTTTTGATCTGTGGCATCACCTACATGAAAACTTAACTGTGAATAGATTGCCCTGTTAATGCCTGTAATGTAGGAATTAAAGCTTCTGATTAAGTGGTAGAAAAATTAATATAAAGCAGGGAATTCTAGAATAATTATTTGACACATACAAATTTAGGAAGTTTTATCCTATCCTTTGGTTGAATGGGCACAGTAGAGCTATAGAATGTTACAAATATAGAATGTTAATTGTTATATAGATGGGAATACTAGAGTAAACAAATCTATAATGTGTTTTAAAATGCAGTGAATTTCAGATGTATATTGATTTAATATGCTAATATGTACAATATTACATGGAGCATTTCTAAAACTTATCAACTTCAGAAACATAGTCTCCCCTGACCCAGTCTCCTGAGGTTAGTTGTTTGGTGAGACTCTATTTCAGAAAACTTGAAAGAAATTTATCTTAGGGTAAATTTTCCTTCTCTCTCCAACTCATCTAACATACTGTCATCAGAATCACCTGAAAAACCACATATGATCTTTTTATTCCCCAACTCTAAGATCTTTATTCCATATTGCTTAAAAGTTTACTCTCCTTAACATGGCAATTGAATTCTTCACCATTTGGCCCTAACCTCTGCCTTCCACCCTTCATCTCTGTCGTCTGTATCCATTCTTTCTTAACATCCCCCCATTCCATCCTTGCCCTCCCACCCTACACCTTAACCATGTTAGAGTATTTATGCATCCCCACTTATCTTTTTAGGCCCGACTCAAATGAAGCCTCTTAGGTAATGCTTTTAATGATTTCTCTTGGGTAGATTTCATCATCTCTTTGCTCCCATGGTACTTTGTCCACACCACAGTTACTACTTTGCATATTCTAGTTATTTTGTATCTCCACGACCAGCACAAAACCTGAGTGATGAAGATATTCCTATTGAAACAAATAACAAAAGTAATATTCTCAAAAAATGGAAAAAAAGCTGGTCTTGTTAAACTGGTCTTGGAAAATTTCATTGAAATGTGAAAACTATTCAGTACTGTTTTATTTTTTAGATGTCACCTTTTGTTGATAAAAGACTGACATTTTTCTTATCCCTTTAGCAAAGTACCAGATGGATGAAATAAAATATAAAGTTCTTTAAAAACATGAGCTTATAGATACTAGTGGCATACTAATATTTTATTTTATTCATTTAAAATAGTCTCTCCTAAAAAAAATAAATAAAAATAAAATAGTCTCTCCTTAAATTTTGGTAAATAAGTACTATAAAAACTGAATTCCTTTTAGTTTTAGTTTTATTTGTCATATTACACATGTATTTAACCTGTATTTCAAATTCTAGGCATTAGCAAGGATAAAGCAGGAAATAAGAGAGAAAGAAAATCTGGTTAAGGAAAAAATCAAGTTTTTGGAAAGTGAGATTGGGAATAACACAGAGTATGAAAAAAAAATTGCTGCTGCTGATCGTAAAGTTTTAAAATGTAGAATGGAATATCAACGTCATGAAGCTAGTAGAATTCAGCTGAAGGATGAGGTATGCCAACTTAAAGGACTGGTTTGTGTGTTTATAACAAATAACTATACAGATAAGCATAAAGGCTTTCCTTTGTTAAGGACCTGCCTTCTAGTTCTTTTTGTTACATCCCTTCATGTTGTGAAACTCGAACTTTTAGGGTACACGATTGAAACCTTGATTGGATAAAGGCAACAGGGGGCTGTCATTCACATCATGGGTGGTATAAAGGGTTCCCCTGGGGTTGTGCAGTGCTCACCTTGCCTGTCACACATGGTGTTTTGTTATTAACTCAAGACAAAAGACTTCTGAAAGGTCTAGCTGGAAATCATAAGATAAAGGCAAATGGATAAATGTGAAGATGGATTATTGACATTGGTGATATTTTGAAGTGTCTTTCCAGAGATACATGTATATGGTGGCTTTACCACTCAAATTCTAGCAAGAACTACTCTTGAAGTTCAGTGTTTTACCTTGTTAAGGGAAAACATTTCAGTGTAGTAGTGGGACAATGTCTTTAAACAGAGAGAGAATAAAATCTTCTGCTTTGGTCTTTTCTTCTTTTGAGCATACATGTCAACTAGATTATTCCATGGGTAGAGTTAGCAATTCCCATAGTTAGCAATAAAGGGATCTTTATGAAATTTGTGCCTTGAGGCCATATTATCTGGAGTTACTGCTATTTGGGTGGGAAATTGGAACATTGCAGAGCATTTCATTTTATAAGTTGTTATAGTTTATATTTCTGATAAGGAAAGTTTTTTTCTATCTGGAGAGAATAAGTAAGATCTTGCAAAAGCAAAAAAGTGAATTTCTTACATAAATTAAATGTCACTGCTAATAGCTCATTCTCAAAACGTTTAAAGCTTAAACCAGTTGCAGAAAAGAATGCAGGTATTCTTTCATTTATAATTTATTTATTGAAATAGAATTAAAGTGTACAATTCAATAACTTTGAGTATTTTGCAGACTTGTGAAATCATTATCATTATTTAATTTTAGAGTATTTTGGTCTTTCAAAAAGAAACCTCATACCTGTTAGCAATGGCTTTCCTTCTGTCCCTCTCCTCCTCCCACCCAGGCCCTGGCAACTCCTGATCTACTTTGTCTCTGTGGATTTGCCTATTTTGGACATCATACAATATGATGCATTTTGTGTCAGGGGTTTTTTACTTACATAATGTTTTGAAGGTTCTTATAAGCTGTGACATGTAAAAGTACTTCATTTTTTCTCATCATTTTTTTATTGTGGTGACATACATACACAATTTACCATCTTAACTGTCTTCAGATGTACAGTTTAGTGTTAAATACATCACTAATGTTGTACAGCCATCACTGTCAACCATCTTCATAACTCTTTCCTTGTAAAGCAGAAACTCTGTACCCATTGAACAATAATTTCCCATTTCCCTGTCCTCCCAGCCCCTGGAAACCACCATTCTACATTCCGTCTCTATAATTTTAGCTACTCTAAGTACCTCATATAAATGGAGTCATAAAGTACTTGTCTTTTTCTGGCCTGTTTCACTTATTTTTCTTAGCATAATGTCCTCAAGGGTCATCCATGTTACAGCATATGTCAAAATTTTGTTCCTTTTTAAGGCTGAATACTATTCCATTGTGTGTATATATTATATTTTGCTTTTCAGTTCCCCTGTCAATGACCTTGGATTGCATTCCCGTTTTGGCTATAATGAATAGTGCTGCTGTGAGCATGGGTGTAGAATTATCTCAGAATTGCTGGATCAAATAATAATTACATGTTTAATTTTTAGAAGAATTACCATACAGGGGTAGTACTATTTGATATTTGCACTAACAGTGCACAAGGGTTCCAATTTCTCCACATCCTCATCCACACTTGTTATTTTGAGGTTTTTTGATGGTAGCTATATTAATGGTTGTGAAGTGGTATTCAATGTAGCTTTGATTTTTGTTTACCTAATGATTAATGATGTTCAGCATTTTTTCATGTGCTTATTTACCTATTATATCTCTTCCTTGAAGAAGTATCTATTCAAGATCTTTGCCCCTTTTTGAGTCAGGCTTGTTTGTTGATGTTGAGTTTTAGAAGTTCCCTAGATGTCCTGGATGTTAGTCCCTTATCAGATATATAATTTGTAGATACTTCCCCCTCATTTTTTGTGTTGCTTTTTTGCTCTGTTGGTATTACTTTTGCTGTACAAAAATTTTTAGTTTAATGAAGTCAAACTTATCTATTTTTCTTTGATTGTCTGTGCCTTTGGTGTCATGTCCAAGAAATCAGTGCCAGATACAATGTTGTGAAGCTTTTGTTCTATGTGCTTTTAACTCATATATGTAGATCTCCGTAATTTGTCAGTATCTTACGAGTCATTTGAAATTTAATATCGGATCAAAAAGAAAAATTGTTAAATATGTTACAGAAATATAGTTATTATGTTTGTCGGTGTTATGTAGGTTAGAAATGAATGTGTTCAGAATAGAAATTCTCAGAAATGGAATTACAAGATATAGAGTAAATATATAATTTCTGTCTGTTAACGAATAAATAGCTGGATTCTTTAAAAGCCACTGTGAATAGAAGTTCCAGTGATTTAGAGGCTCTGAGAAAAAATATTTCCAAAATAAAGATGGACATTAATGAAGAAACAGCAAGGTAAGAAAAAAGATATTTAAGAATGTTTGTATTTTTTTAATATTTCTAGAAAAATTATTGAATATTGGTTTTTTGGTTCAATAACTATAAAATGATAGCTACTAAGTTGTTAAACAATTTTTCTTTAGTTTTTCAAAACAAAGCCTTAGGAGCAATATTTTTATGACCTACTAAATATATGCCAGTATTAAAAGTTTTATGGCAAAAGAAGCTTCACGTTATATGAAGAAATCTTAGGATAAACTGTTCTTTGTTTGTTTGCATTAAATATCTTTTATAGACATGTTTTCTGCTTTTTCCTCATAATTCTCTGTAGGTTATGCAAAATTAAAAATCATAATCAGATTGTAAGAAAAAAATTAAAGCAGATAACTGACAAAACTATGTCTGTAGAGGAGAAAGCTACCAACTTGGAAGACATGCTGAGGGAGGAAGAAAGAGGTGTGAAGGTAAAGTTTAGTTTCAGTTTTTAAAAAATTACAGCAAACTTAGTGAATAAATTAGACTCTTGAGATCAGACGAGCAGGAGGTCTTTTAATGAAGCTGTGATTTCTGGGGTCATCCCCTTTGTAATTAGATTGTTGAGTTGTTGAACCTCTTTTTATTTTAAGCTCTTAATTCTCCATTTGCTTCACTGTCAGCATTTAATTTTGATGTTGTCTCTGAAAGGTGGATCCTCTGAGATTCCATGTCCTCCCAATGCCTACTATGTCCTTGTCCCTGTTTGCTATCCATATGTATTTTCTTAAATTGCAAATACATCTTGAAAAATGCCCTTGTTTTACCACTGATTTCTACCTGCCTATCATTTTTTGTTTGTGATCAATTTCCCTCCCAGTGGTCTGCATTCATTACATATATTTCTTCAGCATCTGCTGTGTCTTTAACCTCTTCCAGTTTGGCACCATTATTGGTAAATGGGCTTATAAGTGCTAACACCTTACTTATTTCACTGGCACCCCCTTTCTACTGTAATCTGTTTGGCATTCTGGTAGCATCAAAGCCAATTTTTGAGGAATTGGAAAAGGCTAGTTTGCCATTTCCTCTTTGAAAACTCCAAATGATTTGTGTGACCTGTCACCATAGGCACTGTATAGGCACTGCTTCTTGCTTTTACTCTTTTTTTGTCTGATGGGAGAAGAGGAAGGGCAGTTCAAGGTGCTTATAGAATCTCCCATTTGCAGAGGCTTGTTTCAAATATGGTTTCATTTATATTTGGATAGAATCCAGCTTCCTCAGTGTGCCATTGTATGTTTAAAATCCTGAGTAACGACATCATGCAACAGTCTTGATTTGAGTGATACATGAGTCCAAATCATACAACATTATTTAAAAAAAAAGTTGTGATTTTTTCCCCTCAGAAAGCATGATTTTCTGCTAGCACATGGAATGGGACAGTTTTGGAGCTTATTAGAAATCTTAAAGACTGTGAATTTTATATGAAATAAACCTTCTGAAGAAAGAATTAAAAAGTGATATTTGAAAAGAATTAGCTGAATTAATAAACAGTAAGGTTGGCCGCATGTGTGAGCAGGGCGTGTTCATGGGCTTTTGTTTGCTTGTTTGGGAAAAATCTCAGCCCTATATATTTTGCTGACTTATTTACAACCAAGCACTGACTTTAAAATTCAGCCAGGCAGTCGTTGAGAAGGTCCTGAACCCAGTGAAAATTTTCTATTATGTGAAAAGCAATGTATTTTATAAGCTGGTATATCAGATTAGGTTTCTTCATTTGTGAAAATTCAGATGTACCAATCACAGATTGTTTTGTTTCATATTGAGGTTCTTTGGAAGCCAAAGAGAAATATGCTTACCTGGGTATAAGAGCACAGAGGGAAGTTATTTCAACATTCTAAAATGAGAGCTTTCAATAGATCTTGGCATGTGAGATCTATCTGAAGCCTAGAATACATTAATGTGACACTTTGAGGTCAAGATAGACCTGCCTTCTGAGAAAGGAGAAGTGAAAATGGGGTACTGGTTTCTGTTTCCTAGTGGGCTGCATGGGTAGGGAAGTCAGCTGCAGGTAAGATGTGAGTAAGAAATAGTGCCAGTAGTGTTGGTGCCAGTGCTTACCAGCTCACAAAAGCTGATTGTTGAATTTTCTGGAATTTTATAAGTCAGCTGCTAAATGTAGCTACTATTAAAAATCAAATTATATATACTCACAATTAAATAAATTATATTAAAAACAAAGTAAAAAACTACTCAGCGCATATCACTTCTAAATTAGTTTTCTACACTTTACTGTTGTCTGTGCTTTTAAGATTACTTAAAATTACTAACATCTATCATATCTGTATAGTGTTGTTGTTCAATCACCAAGTTGTGTCTGACTATTATATCTGTATAGTAGATATACTGCATAATGATCTGCAACTGCATATCTCTTCCCAGCTTTGCATTTAGAGGAATCATGTGAGTAGCTTAAAGTTGGCCTTAGTGGGAATATAAATAATTATGGAAATCAGCCTCTTCCTCCTAACCTCCCATCTACTAGAAACCTAGTGGTTAAGCATTTATCTGCTCACCACTGGATAGTGCTGCAAAGAAGGTGGGAGAGTTCTTCCCTTAACATTTTCAAGACTTTAGTAAACTTTGGGAACTTATAAGCTGTGTGTCTTCAGTGTATTTTTTGTTCTAAAGATACCAGTGAAAAATGGTCAAGTTCTAAGGCTAAGGTGACAGGGTAGATGACATATCAAGGTATATGATACAGGAATAGTGGACAAGAGTAGACTACAAGCAGCGTTGGGAATGTGTTGAAATTGTAAGAAGGGCTTTATACTCTCTAGGGCTAAAATGAGGGTTCATTGATGAGCCCCTAAATTATAATATTCATTCAGTAAAACATTTAAAGATATTATATTACATTAATCATTGTTATTCTTATTATCAGGAAGTAGAAGTTCAGTTGAACATAGTTAAAGATGTGTTATTTAAGAAAGTTCAGGAATTACAGACTGAAACAATGAAAGAAAAAGCTCTTGTATCTGAAATTGAAGGAACCCGTTCTTCTCTAAAGCATCTCAACCATCAGTTACATAAACTGGACTTTGAAACTTTGCAGCAGCAAGAAATTATGTACACTCAGGTAGACGTTACTCTTATGAATGTCTTCATATTGATTTGTCATAATTGTGATAGTCAAGATACTGCAGTGTCCTAAGAAAAAGATTTCTATGAACTCTTGAGGTTGGGGGGCGTAGACAGATGCTACAGACTGCAGGGGGTGTGGGTTTCATCTCTGGTCAAGGAACTAAGACCCCACATGCTGCACGGTGCAGCCAAAAAAACAACAACAAAAAGGACTCCTAAAACCCCCACAAAACTGTATGTTGTACATACATCAGCCTCCCCACCCCTGTCCCTGGACCAATAGGTTAAAAGTATTTTTTAAGTTTTCCTCTTTGGTTCTCTTTACGTATTCTGTCCCATGTTAATTTCTTAATGTCCTCCCTCTCTACATCTTAATTTCTGCATCTAATATATTCTTAGTTTCTCAGAATTACAGATGCTGAAGTATAATTTTCAAAATATTGTTTAAAAGTTCATCATATTTGAGCCTTTCATGGCTAACAGTCTGTGACTGTTTTTTGTACTCTGTAGAAAAATACCCTCAAAAATCCATGTCCATGTAAATCTAGTAGATTTACTGATGTTCTATCATGATAGTACAATAAATACCCACCTAACTGCTCTATTATATTTTCAGATTAGTTGTGTGTTATTATCATATACTCTGGTTGTTGAAGAATAGTTTACTGTTTTTCCCCTTGGAATAAGAAGGACTTCATCACTAAAGAATTAAAGTGACTTTAGTAAATGATGACATCAGACCAAACTCATGAAAATATTTACAGCGTGTTTGCATCTACAAAAATGGTTTTAACTGTTTCTCCCTACTAACTTTCTTTAAAACCTGTAACAGGATTTTTACATTCAACAAGTAGAACGCCGAATGTCACGCTTAAAGGGAGAAATTAATTCAGAAGAAAAACAAGCCCTTGAAGCAAAAACTGTTGAACTTCAGAAGACATTGGAAGAGAAGAAATCTGCACTTTGCCTTTTGGAAACACAGATCAAGAAGCTTCATGTAACTTAGCTAAAATACTTTTTATGCTTTAAATATCCTAGTTATTAGTCATTTTATGTCAACATGTTCCTAAGACTTGACTTTGGATAGGATGATTGCCAAGCTACCCACATATATAATAAATGTATGAACTAATGCCCGTATTTCTGTGCTTACATTCTCATACGGAAATATGAAAATAACGTTACCATTGACTATGCATTTGCTGTATGCTATGTTTATGGCTTTAGTGTTTTATTTCATTTAATCCTTATAAATGTGAGGAAGATATTACCTGTTTTCCAGATTAAGTAACTTGTTCATGATTTCACAGTGAGGATTTGATCCTTGGTCCATGTGACTTAAAAATAGTCTTAAATGGTACATGATTTAAAACATTGATAAGTTTTAGTTTCTATTATGTGTTTCCCATAATAACTTGATTGCTTTTTATCACTGAAGTAGCATCTAAAAGAAGCTGCTCTTTTATGGGTCTTCTTTTGTTATTCAAATATTTACTTAGTTACATATTTCATATGACTCTATATTTTGTTAATAAGGTTAAAAATGTTCTTCATCCTTAGGTACTTTAATATGTTTATGGTAATATTAAACCTGTGTTCCAGGAACCTATGTAATATAGAACCTATGCTAAAGTTTAACTGGCAAGAGTGAAGGCCTGAAAGCATGGATCTGAATTGGGGGGAGAGCTCCAATTTTAAATGTTGAGCAGCTGGAAAGGCTGGTGATGAATGTCTTCTAGTGGTTAAATGAGAAATTGCCCTCAATTCCTTAAGGGCTCCAAAGGTGAAAGGGAGCTATTACTTTTTTAAATTAGGAAAGAAAAAAAAAATTCAACATGACAAAATATTGGTTTTGAGTGGTTTATAGCCTGATTAAATTTTTAAAAGACTATTTCCTTGGTTTAGTAATAGGAGCACATGTGTTGGAATCAGAACTGGTTTTGAATGTCAAGGTTATACCTAACTACCTGGATTGGGAAGCTCCCCTGGAGGAAGGCATGGCAACCCACTCCAGTATTCTTGCCTGGAGAATCCCATGGACAGAGGAGCCTGGAAGGCTGCAGTCCTTAGGGTCACACAGAGTTGGACCCAACTGAAGTGACTTAGCACAGCACAGTACTGCTTTTTTAAGTTTTTTGAGTCTCAGTTTACTCATTTTTAACCCACTCCAGTATTCTTGCCTGGAGAATCCCATGGACAGAGGAGCCTGGAAGGCTGCAGTTCTTAGGGTCACACAGAGTTGGACCCAACTGAAGTGACTTAGCACAGCACAGTACTGCTTTTTTAAGTTTTTTGAGTCTCAGTTTACTCATTTTTAAATGGAAAACAATATTTGGTATTATTTTAGGACATTTGGGAGAATTAGAAGCAATGTGTATCTTAACACAGTGCCTTTAGTAGGTTCTCAATAAATGGTATTGTTTTAATTATATAGAATATGAGAATATTAGTGCTATAGAATGATAGGAGGATGACATTCATATCTGGATGTGTTTTTTGATGCTAATTCAGTTGTGTCTGTTTTGCTGTGTGAGAGTGGTTCTAGTGTTCCCCATTTTAACTACTGTGGGGCTCTGTCCATGACGCAGTAGGCTAGTACTTATGCCTATCTCAACTCTGGTTTTGACAGAGAGGTAAATAAATTAATAGACATACAAGTGAATTTTTAAAGATATTAAAGCTGGTTAACTGTCTAATGAAGGTTTTCTCTTCTCAATAGTAGCGTTAGATTGTAAAGTCATTCTACATTCTCTTTCCCATGCCACTCCATCTCTTATTTTGAGTAACAAACAAATTTCCTCTAGTTGAAAATTACCTTAAATTAATATTTTAATTCTGAAAGTTAATTTTTTGAAGTCATATCTTTATGTGAAAAAAAGTCTTACTGTCTTGCTTCAATCTTAGGTTCTGATTGTTCAGAGAAATACAGGCAGTGAGAAAGGTAGGGGAGGGAGGAAGCAAGGGAGACAGGAAGAGAGAGGGAAAAGGGAGAGAAATCTTGGCACTAGAAACTTTTTGTTTTGGGTCCCCTAAGAGGGACTAAGGAGGACAAAGAGAGCAAACCTCATTCTAGTTCTGGGTGGGAAGGAGGATGCAAACTTGTATAAAGCTGGAAAACTGTATGAATGTATGACCCATTCATTTATTCAACGGAATTAGATTTTATCTAGCATTTTTCTCTTCAGCAATATGTGATTATATACATAATAATAATCATAACAACATTTCCCTGTGTCAAACATTGTTGCATATATTACAATAACTTTTTTAACCCTCCACAACAGCCCAGGTAGGTAGGTGTTGTTATCATCTCCATTTTAGAAATGAGGAAACTAAGGAAGGATAGGTTGCCAACTGGTATTGGATGGCTGATAAGTAATGAAGGCCGTCTAATTCCAGAGCTTGTAGTTAACCAAAACCGTATGCTTTCTCAGACTGTTAACATTTTTACCTTCTGACCTTGGGTTGAATCAAATGATGAAATCCAGAAGGTGAACCCTGTATTTAAACAAAACTCAAACTCTGCCCTCCCTTGTCTTCCCCTAAATGGCAATCACTTAATAATTCAGTTTGAACGGTAATCATACATGATATTTCCTACCTAGAATTACTGAAATCGAACTGAACCCAAACATCAACAAATAATAAAAATGAAAGTGTTTGTATGTGACTATCCGTGTATATCCTATTAGAGATGTCAGAGTATGAAGGGATGAGATTTAAAAATCTGATTATTATAAATGTTTAATGGAGCATATAATTCAATGTGTCATGCATTTAATATTGTTATTTAAAATATGTATTTATGTACCTTTTTTCCTTTTTACAGAGTGATCTTTACTTTACCAAGAAGTCGAATAGTAAATACCGTGATGAAAAACAGTCCCTCATGACCAAAATAAATGAACTAGCCCTTTTCAATGACAGATCAGAGAAAGAACTTACTAAAGCCAAAGCTTTCAAACAGGTGCAATAAAGTCATGTTTATATATAATATTGAAACCCACATATTTTCATGTTAATTGTAGAAAAAATTTTAAATATACCAAATTATAAAGGAAAAAATGTCAATATAATCACTGTACAGATAATAAGCAGTGTTATAGTATATTATCATCTTTCAGTCTTTTAAAGAAAATAGATTTGTATATTGTATTCAAAAATTTAAAAATATATGATACATGTTTTCTAAACATTAAGTATCTTTAAAGACTTCCTACACTCCATTGCATGAAGTTACTATAATTTATTTGACCATCTATTTTTGGATATGTATTTTTTCCAGTGCTTGGCTATTATAGATAGTACTCTCATATACTGTGCACATATTTCTTTGTATAGTTGTTCATATAATTCCTTAGGATAAATTTCTAGCTGTATAATTATGGTTCAAAAGAATGTATATTTCTAGTATCTTGAAACTATTTTCAAGCCATTTGCCTTCTAGAAGGTTCAATTAATACTCCCACCAGCAATGTATAAGCATTCTATTTTATTTACCACCACGAGGGCTGGATAATAATGTATAAAATTTCTGTTAGTTTGATGGGCAAACATGGTATTTCATTGTTTTTTAGTCTGCATTTTAAAGTTGTGAGTGAAGTGAAATCGCTCAGTCGTGTCCGACTCTCTGCAACCCCATGGACTGTAGTCTATCAGGCTCCTCCATGCATGAAATTTTCCAGGCAGGAGTACTGGGGTGGGTTGCCATTTCCTTCTCCAGGGGATCTTCCCAACCCAGGGATCGAACCCGGGTCTCCCACATTGCAGGCAGATGCTTTACCATCTGAGCCACCAGGGAAGCCTGCATTTTAAAGTTAGTGACATTTTAAAAACATTTTAAGCATAAGATTTAAAATATTTATGTTTCATTGAAAATGTTTAAGCATTTTTTTCTATGTTATTTTCCATAATTTTTCTTTTAGATTTCTAGTTCATTTTCTTGCATATATTTCCATTAGGTGGTTTATTTTTTAAAATACTTGGCAAAAGATCTTCATATATTAACTCATAAGTATTTTGTCTCATTGTCTTTAAACTTCTATTCAGTTTTTTTCCATAAAACTTTCTTTAAACATCATATGTTTAAGTGTTTTTCCCTGTATAATTTTTATGCTTAGAAACTTTTTAGTCACACTAAAAATATTTACTATTTCTAATGGCTGCATTTGGTTTCATCTCTTACATTAAGTTCTTTCATTCATCTGGAATTTATTTCTGGTACATGTGAGATACAGGGGTTTAATCTTTGCTCTAAATAACAAGCTTTGTCTTGAAATAGTAAAATCTTATATTCTGGAGTATTTTTTCTGGGCTTTCTCTTCTGAAAATTGATCTGCTAAGTGTGATCTTGTGTCAGTACGCTGTTGTTGTTCAGTCACTAAGCCATGTCTGACTCTTTGCAACCCCATGGACTATAGCAAGCCAGGCTTCCTGGTACATCACCAACTGCTGGAGCTCGCTCAAACTCAGGTCCATTGGTTGGTGATGCTATCTGACTGTCTCATCCTCTATGATCCTCTTCTCCTCCTGCCTTCAATCTTTCCCAGCATCAAAGTCTTTTCTAACAAGTTGGCTCTTTGCATCAGGTGGTGAAAGTATTAGAGCTTCAGCTTCAGCATGAGTCCTACCAATGAATATTCAGGGTTGATTTCCTTTAGAATTGCCTGGTTTGATCTCCTTGCAGTCCAAGGGACTCTCAAGAGTCTTCTCCAACACCACAGTTCAAAAGCATCAATTCTTCTTCGGCTCTCAACCTTCTTTAATGGTCCACTCTCATATCCATAATGACTGCTGGAAAAACCACAGCTTTAACTATACAGACCTTTGTTGGCAAAGTGGTGTTTCTGCTTTTATAACACACTGTCTAGGTTTGTCATTGTTGTTGTTTAGTTACTAAGTCATGTCCAACTCTTTGTGACTCCATGGACTATAGCCCACTAGGCTCCTCTGTCCATGGGATTTCCCAGGCATGAACTGGAGCAGGTTGCCATTTTCTTCTCCAGGGGATCTTCTCAATCCAGAGATTGAACTTACATCTCTTGTACTAGCAGGCAGATTCTTTACCACTGAGTCACCAGGTAAGGTTTGTCATAGCTTCCCTTTTAATTTCATGGCTGAAGTGACTGTCTGCAGTGATTTTGGAGTCTAAGAAAATCTGATCCGTTCCTGCTTCCATTTTTCCCACCTCTATTTGCCATTAAGTGATGGGACTGGATGCCATGATCTTACTTTTTTGAATGTTGAGTTTCAAGCCAGCTTTTTCACTCTCCTCTTTCACATCATCAAGAGGCTCTTCAGTTCCTCTTCACTTTTTGCCATTAGAGTGGTATCATCTGTATATCTCAGGTTGTCGATATTTCTCCCGCAATCTTGATTGCAGCTTGTGCTTCCTCCAGCCCAGCGTTTCACATGATGTACTCTGCATATAAGTTAAATAAGCAGGGTGACAATATACAGCCTTGAGGTACTCCTTTTCCTATTTGGAAACAGTCTGTTGTTCCATGTCCAGTTCTAACTGTTGCTTCCTGACCTGCATACAGGTTTCTCAAGAGGCAGGTCAGGTGGTCTGGTATTCCCATCTC